ACAAATGTTTGTATATATATAAAGAAATTAGAAAGGTGGAAATGTTTCTGTAACGCTAATATTATTCTCGTGATATTATATCGAATAAGTTGACCTTCTCTATCTCACTTAGAGTAGGTGAATGACACTTTGTCGTCTGTGAAGAAGAGTAGTTCTAAGACGTGTACGATACCCGCTCTTTCAACCTCTAATAGAGAATATGTAGTATTAGAAATATTACGACTACAATAAGTCATAAATGTTCCAGTCTACTAAAAATGTTGTTGCTTATTTACAAAAATTAATTATTTCTGTTATTATAACCCTTTGCGGGACCTAATTTCAGGAACTAAGACTCTGTAAGCAGAAATGAAGTTTCAGTTACAGTGTGCCATATATAATGGGCTGCGGTTATTGCATTACATGATCACTGTACAATCTATTGTAAACGTAATTCTACTAGGCAGAACCTAGATAGAAGTGACAAAACAAGTGGCAGTGCCATTGGTCAGTGGACTCAACTAGAAATGGAAAAGCTGCAAGAAAGAAAAGAAAAAAGAACTAAATAGTTACTTTGCAAATACACAGGCCTGGCAAGATTAAAACATTTCGCTATGGAAGTTTAGGAACTCAAGTGAATGGCGACCATCCACGCAGAGCTTCAAGCGTAGCTCTTCAAAAAAAATTTTCTTTATCAATTGCGGAGTTTGTTTTATAAATGAAAAATTTTATGCCCGTGATTGTGGTATCAAAACGGTGCCTATGCACTACTTGGATGATAAGAGAAAGCTTTACCACCCAAACAAATATATGCCATGCTTAACACACCGGTAGGGATAAAAGGTGAGAATTAGTTTAGATTAAAATAACCTAAAAACTATAAAAGACGATGTAGTAAGAATATTACGAAAATTAGCAGGATTGGAATAATCTGATTAGTATAAAAATGGTTATGGTGAGAAGAGTGAGTTATGCGGATATTTCTATTTTAGTGAAACACTTTTTAATCATAACCGCGTTTTTATGTATGTATGCATGAACTACATACATATGCATATGTTCATAATTTTTAAATTCTTAAATAATTACATATAAATATTATTAGTTTTTTATTATAGAAATAATTTATTTTGCAAAATACTACAGTAACAGTAAAGTGTAAACGATAAGAAATAAAAATATATATCTTATATCAAATAAATATATTTACAAATGAAATGGAATAATATATATAAGTATATATAAGATAATAAGAATATATTTACGTTTCAACCGGTAAATATTATACTACAAAAGTATTATCTGTATCAAAAAAAAAACATTTTAATTAAGTTTATGAATTCATTTCATGCCTATCGACTTTAATCTTCAAGCAAAGCAGGTGGTCAAACCGTGGTAGACGGTTCTCTCAGTGCGCCCCAAGTACTTTCTTTTAGTTTGATAAAATTTCAATTTAAAATTGTTATAGATAATAATATAAACAAAAATCTATATTTAGATATTTTATAGTTTTTCTAGAAACTACTTATAGCAAAAAACAAAAATAATTTTTAATTTGTCTGTGCAATTTGAACAATAACATATTGAGATTTTAATCACTGAAGTTTAGTGTTTTTTTATTTTATATTTCTACACAAAAGTGTTGATATTTATGATATAAGTTTTTTGTTAATCAAGTAGAACCCTTCACAAATATATTTTTATATACCCGATAAATTTGAACTTTAAAAAGTAATATTGAATAATTACTCCAATTTTTTAAATAGATATTTATATTTGTTTACTTTTCCTTAACTTCTGCATGCAACTCATGGTTCTCATTATTATCACCTTTGTGTATTATACACTTAATATCATAAAGTCCTGGTTTCATGAATTTCATAATTTTAGACTCTTTGAGTGGATAATTGTTAAGCTGATATTTCTGTTTTGGTAACGGACACGTCTCTGGCGTAGGTGCATTAGAATAATTTTTTAAGGAATCATAGAAAAAATTCTTGTAATGACTTTTTAAAAAATCACATATCCCTTTAGCTGATAATTTATAAATTAATTTCGTATCCTTAAATGCTTGACATTCAATCTGTAATGCAACAAATTGAAATTATAATATATAATTTGTTTGCAGTTATATTTATATAAACTTACCGTATCATCATTGGTTAATTCGACTAATAGGTTCACCGAGGCGCTAATTTTGTCTACTCCTTTTTGAAAATCAAGTTTAAATAAATTACTTTTTTTTGCATCTCCTTTGTACTCTAACGAAATTTCATAATTCTTCACATCTTCAGTAGAACATTTATTAAACAATAAAAGTCCACAGAAAAGGATGATTGAAATATAGCCTCTGAAGAAAACACTCATTTTTCCGAAATGAACAGTTAAAACAACGATAGTCTTATGATCCGAATGGAATAATTCAAACCTTTTTAAATAATTAATTTGCATGTCAAAATTGTTGACAGATTTAATTAATTATATAATTAATAAACGGAAATTGTTGACAACTTATTTGATTTTAAAGTTAAAAATTTTAATTGTTTATTCATAAACAAAGGCAATTAAATAATAATGACACAATTAAATAAATAATGACACTATCAAATTAATAATGACACAATTAATTAATAAATAAAATAGATAAAGCACGTAATTAAAGTATTTAATATCATAATGGGGTATTTAGATGTGAGTTCCTGTGGCCCAGCCATGCAAATAAATTGTAGTAAAATTGAGCAGGTTTTCTCCTTGACGTATCTCTGGCCGTTGCTGCAGATGATCAAACCAACGAGAAAGATTTAAGTAGTTTTCCTTATCAATAGGCGAAAGAGATTTCTGAAAGAGAAAGATTATATTATTATTTATAATATATATTAATTATTTAATAAAGTAATTAATATAAAAACTTAATTACTTTTTCTGAACCCAAAAACCATATAAATATTTTTTAATATAGTATAATTATTAACATTGTTATTTATGCAGAGATCTGCTTGCAATGTTTTTCTCTCTTTACTCTGTTATTTATCAACTATATTACCAACATATCCCAATTCTTGTACATATATTATTTGTTAATATCACTCTATAAAGCATAAATTTCAGTTAAGTTTAGAAACACAAAAAAACAAAAGACAATAAATTAACAAAATTGCAACGATGAAATCTTATGCATAACTCACTTAGATGACTTGTGTGACAGGCCATTGAAAATTACCTCAAAAGGGTTTAATACCGTAAGATGTCCCACGGAGGGCATTTGAATTTTATATATCGCATTTGATGGCAAGATCATAAAACGTATAACTATGTACGAATAATGCGAAGTTAGGCTAATTTAAGTGCCCGTAACCCAAATATGCGATTAAATTTAAATATAAAAATTGTTAATATATACACCTTAAATTTTTATAAAAACTGTAGGATCTCTTCGTAAGAGCAACGGAATAATTTTACTACCCTAAATTGTATACTTTAAGTTACTTGCATGATTGTGGCTAACAATTATTATGTCTTAAAAATATAAAATTTTACGCAGAATTTTATTTTTTCCAACTTACCACTAAGTCATATATTGCATAAAAAACAGCCAAATCTGCAAGAGTTATGAAGTGTCCTACTAAATATGACTTGCATAGGAACAATTTATTAAAATCTCTTAATAATCCTTGTGCTACATGCTTGTCTTTAGATCCTGGTGCTACATACAAAACAGCAAACTCAATCCATTGATACACTTGGGCTTCGATTTCACGTGTTGCACAACTGTTTTGTGCAGTTTCTGATTTTGATTCCTTTGCCAATGCGTTAAGAATAGTGGCAAAACCAGTAACTTTTTTGTTATCAATATTTGTACGTGTAACAACCTTTAAATTTACAATATTGATTAACTTTAAAATAAATTTAATTGTAACAACTAACCTTTTCTTCGTTGAGTGTCACCTTACCAGCAGGCACACCAAGACAATTGGCTATTTTAGTAATTGCATCTACGTCACACATATTTATTTTAATTAACTAAGTATATGATGATATATATTTTTATATTCAATAATAATTTTATATTAAATGTTAAAATTATATTTATGACGGCTTTTTAACACACCGTCTATTGGAAAACAGTTGTTTGACAGTTGATACAGCGAGATATTAAAGCAAATTATGGAGGTTAGAAATTTTGTAAAAATGTGGTAAGTAACTTTAGCACAGTGGTGAGTTATAATAACTTATGTAGTTTTATTTATACGTTAATAGTTGGCTTGAAAAAACGAGTACAACTAAATGTTTATATTTTAAAATTATACACAATAAAAAAATTTTGAAATAGTATTTGAAATGATATAGTTAGTATAATTTAAAACTAATTATAGTATATTATCAGTGCATATCTCTTCATTCAAAATGTTTGCTTTTCAGTATTTCAAAGAACACATGGTACAATTATCATTTGGACATAATTTAAAGGATTTTTGAATTGAATCCCTATTATTTAAGTTTACTTATTAAGAACTGTACTAACATTTTATATAATAAAAAGTATTAAGATTATAATAGACAACATAAACAAGTAATTGTACTAAGGTCATCAATATATTAATTTCTTAATTTATATATAAAAAGTATTATGAACTCAAAACTGATTTTTATAACAATATAGAATAAATTATAACATAAATTTCATATCAATTGTATATAAAGAAATCCATTTTAATATTAATTTTGTGATCTGGGACTTGCAGAATTATGACTTTTGGTTAAAGCTTCAAATGTAATGTCGTATTGTAATAGAAAAATAAATAGTGTAGAGATGGCCACAAGTAACTAGAAAATTTGAAAAAATATATATTAATGATTTGGCATGCATAAATCAATAATATAGATATATCATTAATGAAATAAGTTGTTAAATTACTGAAGTTATAAAATTCATGTTTAGCTCTGCAACTCCACAAGCAACGTTACTTCTAGTATTAACAACTAATTGAAGTACAAAATGAGTAATCTAAAATTAAAAAAAAAATTATAAACATTTAATATACGATGATACATACGATGATACAAATAAATAATATTATTTGAAATTAAATCAATTTGAAATGTGTAATGTTATAATTACAGATATCACAATTCATAAGTATAAAGGTAATTTTAAAATACATATTTAATTTTTATATGTTAATATATAATAAATATGTTTTTTACATTACAATAAACAACATTACAGTTACATTTTTAATCACCTTAAATATATATAAAAGTGTTATATATATATATTAGCACATACCGTTTCCTCAATTTCCTCATTTTCAATATAAATATCATTTAATAAAAGAGCTGTATTATTTTTCTAGAAAAATAATTATTAAAAAATATAATTTACATTATTAGATAACCTATATTTTTACCTCTTTTTGTATACAGTGATTATAGTATAAAATCAAAAACATTTTCCCAATATGCATGAAAGTCCAAATCACAGAGTACAATGTCCAAGCAAGATCAGAATTTTCAACTTTATCCATATACTTGTATATCAAAAAAATATTAATACTTATATTCATAAATGATCCAATATAGACTAATAGCACAGATTGCGCAAATGAATCGTTTACACTTTTATATAATTGTTCCAGAGTTGAGTATAAAGAACGTAAGATATGTAAGTCCTCATGCAAAGTTGATGGATCCAGTGATTTTTTAGATAATTTTAAGGATAAAATTTGATTTAAATTATTAGCTCTTAAAGCAATGGCATATAAAAGCCCATAATATTGCAACAAGGATATATGTAAGACGTTATTTGGTAATACATAAACAATCGTACTATATAGAAAATTTAGTAAAATAGATGAACTATAGTAAAAATCTATAATTGTAGTTAAGATCGTATGTAACAATATTAGCAATAAATGCTTGTTAAGGAATTTTCTGAATAGTTTAAAGTTCGGATATACATTGTAAACTGTGACTTGTTCGTCAAAATTAATGATGATGTGTAGAAAATTTTGGAATTTATCACGTCCATAGTAGCTGCCAATTATTATTTGTAATACATGCACTAGGTACACAATATATTCAGAAAAATAAAGAGGTTTCTGTACCGTAGGTAGATCGATATTGGATTCTGTATAGTGTATATAAATGCAAAATGTTAGAGCAGCGTAGATAACAAAACACCAAGATATATGAAGACTGTTCCAAACTCTATCACGAAACGTATCTATATTCTGTTGTGGACGATGTACACCAAACGGCGCGGTCATAAATATTTCGCACAGTATTAGAAAATAACCAATTGCTTTATATAGTTTTGTTTCCAAATTTCTAGTTATTGGAATAATAATGGGTGTTATTTTGAAAACTTTATTATTCTGTTTCATTTGCGTCTTCGAAGGGAATATTTTCATATTGATTGGTGAATGTTTCTAAAATTCTGTTTTTAAATTGAAAAAAAAGGATTTATAATTATTATATATTATATAAAATATTATAAAAATATATATGTATATGTAATATGGCTGGACCACTTGAACTGCGACTTTCAAGAATATAATATTTTAATTAAAAATCAAATTACATTAAATCAACAGAAAAATTATTTGTTAAATTTTAGTTAATAAAAATAATCAAATTTTTTGAATTCAAACTTTTCTATATGGCCGTCTTGAATTATGACTCTGATTAGGTAGACAAATGAGTGGCCAGCTATACGTGAATCTATGGGAGTCTTAATCCATTTTAAGCATAGGTGCTTTCTTGAACATTTCAGTACTCTGATTTTTTTGTGTTAACCGTAACCGAAAAAAATCGTATACTAAAATGTCCAGCACATTCACATCTGGCGATTTTGAAAATTACTATGAAGTCGCTCTATGCTATTCACTCTATATTATTGTCAATTGGGGCGTACTCTCTGTAACGGTGCATAATCTTCTTGATATATTTGTTTTTCCTCTCATCTAAATATTTATTTGCTTAGGATTTGGCAGTACATAATATTGACCAACGACTGTCATGACTTTCCAAAAGATTTTCTAATGATCTCTCTGTTAAACTCGATGATTTGTTTAAATATTGTTAATTATGAAAATTTTGCTCATCAACGGAAAAGGTTCGTTACAGCTTTATGGAGCTTAGTTTTGTTTCAAACATGAACGAAATCTTGTCGGTTATGTAGCAATAAGGTGTCATTTCAAGGTCGTTTCGCTGCATTAGTGATCCACAAATGACCCGCTGTGCGGATTTTAATTCGGTCGTCAAATTTCCGAACCCCAAATAAGGTTTTTTTAACATTGTCACATTCAGTTTCACTATAGTTTTGTGACTTGGGACACGAAAGATTAGTTCAGATTAAGATGTTTGGGAGGTCTAACAATGTCCACTCTTGGAAGGAAAGCTAATAATCATCAACTTAAACGCATATTTGCCACCAGTTTGAAAGCTTAAACAGGTTGGTTGATTACAGTTCAATTGGTCCACTCTTTATTAGGAAACTTAAATCTTTTATTTTAATACTTACCAGTGAAAACTCCCACAGTAGATGAAAATGAGAAGAACCAGTGTTCTCTTCGGATTTGTAGCACTAAGTAAATTAATTATTGCTTATTTACAACTAATATACAGCTAGAAGTTGATATACTTAAACAATTAATTCGTAATTAAATATCTCTTAAACTCATACTCATTACAAAAACTAATTAGTAAATTAATTAATTTTTAATAGAAATTTATATTCAAATGCACTTTAATTGGACAATTAAATACAACAATATCGAGAATAATATTAAATGGTTATATTCTAATAGAGCCAACGTCTATAAAAATGTATGTCAAATGTCAAAAATGAAATATTCTTTTAACATAAATTTATATTAGAAGATGAGCCTTACGAAGTTAAATAAAGAATCCGATGGAAATGGTGCGTTCAATAAATTTTTGGGACTTATAAAAAAACTAATCTTGGTTTGTCAAATTTTTTGCGTTACACCACTTTTGACTGTGAACAGTAATAATCCTACAAGCATATCCATGCGTGTACATCATATTTGGTGCTTGACGATATTACTTTATATATACATTATAAACTATATACAAGCTTCCACGATTAGAGCAAGCTACACAACTGTTGAAAAGGGTTTATATCTCAGTGAGTTTTTGACCAACTGCATAATTATAACTTGTACCGTCAGTAGTGCATATTACTATGCTGAATACTACAAAATAATACCAATTAAAATATCAAAAATCTATAAAGAGTTGCAGTCTTATCTACCTCAACAATCCAGTAATATGGGAGCGTTATATATTGTGCTGCATACAGAGTTACTTTGCTTGGTGTGGTCAATATGTGGCTTTATTTTCTGTTGCTGTGCTATAGATCTTATCTATTCGGATTATAATCTTTTATTATCTATTCGTAGCTCTAGTGCGTATAATGTACCAAATCTGATCATTTCATTAAGTTTGGGTCAATATTGGTTAGCGTTGCGCTTTATACGATTGCTACACAAACGTGTGAATGAAATATTACAGAATACAAACAAACCCAGTTCTTTGAGATTAAATATAAATGCGGATGTTTGTGTAACTACTATCGGTAGGGATATAACTAATAATTGGTATGAAACTGAATATCCTATAAATAAAAGAAACAAGAAACTTTCATCATCGCAGTTTGAAGTTATAAAGAAAATGCGTAGAGTTTACTCTGATTTGAATGACATTTTGGATAATGTGACAACAGCTTACGAACTCGTCATACTATTGAACTTTTTGGGTTCGTTCTTAGACTTAGCAATTGAATATTTTGCGGTTTATAAATTCTTCGATAAACCCCATATATATGGTTTGGCTTTATTCCTTTA